ACCTAATTTTAAACAACAAGCTGTCTAGAAGATTATAAACCTAAAAACCTACAGCCCTTCTCTTGTTGAACCCCACACCAACATCAACAGTTCGTCCATCCCACACCCTGTTGTAACCGCGAAGGCAAACACGAACTCGCCAATCTGCAGGTTTTGTGTGGACCGAACTGACTTTCAGTTATGGTCTAAGGTTTAGGGCCGTTCAGGGTTTGGGTTTAGGGTTTCGGGTTTCGGGTTTCGGGTTTAGGGTTTATAGGGTTTATAGGGTTATAGGGTTTATAGGGTTTATAGGGTTATAGGGTTATAGGGTTATAGGGTTTCGGGCTTCGGGTTTAGGGTTTAGGGTTTGGGGTTTAGGATAGAGTGGTAGTCGTCGTCGTAGTTGTAGTCGTGGTAGCAGTAGTCGGCAATAGCTGGTACTTTCAGAACATCCGTTGTCCCGGCGACGACGAGTCAAGGCTCATACCTAAGCCCTAAACCTTTTGAGCCCTTTAAACCCTTGAAACCCTTTAAACCCTAAACCATTTAACCCCTTTGAACCTTTGAGCCCTTTAAACCCTAAACCCTAGACCCCTAAACCATAGAGTTTGAGTCACAACCCTTTAAACCCTAAACCCTAAACCCTTTCAACCCTTCAAACCCTTTGAACCCTTTAAACCCTAAACCCTGAACCGTAAACCTTTAACCCTAAACCCCTAAACCCCTAAACCATAGAGTCACATGCAGCCTGGTCGAAGGCGCTGCGCACGCCCCAGCAGCTGGCAGGCCTTCGGCCATATAGGGGTATATCAACCAGCTGTAGTACCAGGATACAGATACATATATATATATATATACATATAGACATATAAAAGTAAGTTATATACTACATTTATAGTACATAAACACACACACACATAATATATATATATATATATATGTATGATTCGCCACGGCGCCCTTGAAAAAGTACCCTTCAAGGAACCGGATCTTCAGTGTGAAGTCCCCGGGGCTTGGGACTGTGCAGCCTTTGGCTCAGCTTCGCGCTGAGGTTGCAGGTTGACATGTTCGGAGCTGAAGGTTTACGGTTTGGGGTTATAGGGTTTAGGGGATTAGGGGTTATAGGGTTTAGGGTTTAGGGTTTAAGGTTTAGGGTTTAGGGTTTAGGGTTTAGGGAAAGCAAACGCCGGTGATAGGATGGAGCAGATCAGCGACTCTAAACGCTCGGCCCTCAGCCCCCAATCCCAATCCCTGCTGTAAACCATAACACCTAAATCTTACCCTAAGGGTCCATGTGCTCATATAGTATATAAAGTGGCCTTAATGTAGTCCCTCTATAGGTACTTTAGGGCCCATGTATATGCTATATGAGCACATGGACCTTAGGGTTACTGCCCCGAGCCGGTACCTAAATCCAAGATTTTGCGGCCATATAAACCCTCTTAGTTTGCCATGGCAATCTCCGGGCCCAATCGTCTAAGCTTCCCTTTTCTCTGACGGGCGGGCTCAGAGGGTTTAGGGCTTTAGGGTTTAGGGGCTTTGGGTGTGTAGGGTTTTGAGTTTGATTGTTTAGGCCTTTGGGGGTTAAGGGTTTTTAGGATGCTTAGCCAGTGTGGGCCAGTGCTACGGCTTTTAGGGTCCAACAGCTTTTTAGGCCCAGGGGACACGTAGGAACAAGACGACAAAATTCTTCACCCCCGATGCAAAAAACAACCCTGGGTACATTCTTCATCCAATGCTTACCGCAACACCAAATAACCTGCCTTTTGCTGACCTACATAAGGACATGCATTGATAGGTTGAGAGAGGCCAGGCAGGGGTTTAGGACTTCACGAACTACCTGGACACAAACGCAGTTCTTTTTCTTGCTTACTTTGTGCTCTTGTAATTCAAGTGCGCTAAGTAAGACTATAGCCAGGGCTAAGAGGGTTATTGGTTTCGGGGCCATGTGTAGAAGATTGCTGCTGGCACCTGGCAAGATTCCAGCATTTTTTCGCACGCTCCCAATGTTCGAGGGTTGGGCTCGCTGCCCAATACCGCGCACGAAACGGCCCAGATTGCAAGACAGGACCCGTCGAACGCACCGACTGTAATCTGAAAGGCCCGAAGCCCTCGACACCAAACTGTCAACTTTCGCTGCAATTAAACTCCACAGGACATGTACAACCTCAAAAACACATTGACGAAGTCCAACAAACGGAAAGCCTGCAAGCACCCGAGAAATTCTACATAAACCCCAGTAAGAAAAATAGTCTACTCTCTTTTGATTCTAGTCTCAGAGCAAAACCGGACTTTGAGTTACGTCCTAAACTCTCAGACACAATCCGCTCCAGGGCAGAATGTAAGGGTTTCCTGCACGGCTTCCTGGAAGCTTTAGCAACGAGCTTGCTTTTGCAGCTTCTCAGCTCATTAATGTTTTGTTTAGAGGTCGGGGTCTATGTAACCCGAAAAATCAACCCCAAACCCTATAATCCCTAACCCTAAACCCTAAACCCCTAAACCCTATAGGGTCTAAACCAGAGTAGTGCTGGGTCCCGGCAAGAGTTGCAGACACCTTCTCCCTCGTCCGAGGGCGGCGTCGCTAAGGGTCCGTGTGCCTCTATGAAGATAGATAGTTAAACAGATAGATAGGTAGATAGGTAGATAGGTAGCTAGGTAGATAGATAGATAGATAGATAGATAGATAGTTAGATAGATAGATAGATAGATAGATAGATAGGTAGGTAGATGGATAGATAGCACATATATATATATATACAATAGTATGTATGTGTATGTATATGTATATGTATATGTATATATATATATATATGTATGTTTATACACATATCATGTAATATAGGAATCCCACGAAGGCCGAAGTGTAGACTGCATTACTAGTTACATGGACCCCTAGGGCAGCATGATCCTCCTAGGGCCTGTTGACGGCCACGAAAATTGCAGGCTTCCGGATCGCTGATCGTGTTTCTGGATCCAGGGTTACGGCTTCGGGTTTACAGGGTTTAGGGTTTAGGGCGGGCTCAGGGTTTAGAACGTGCTTCTGAATCCAGGGGTAGGCTTTTTCGAGGCGTGTCTAATCCTAACGGTCCAAGTCCTGATAATCACAAACTCGCTCAAGTACTCACCTACATTTCTCAACCCTCAAGGCTTGCAGATAATGAGGAGGTACTTGTGGGAGCTCTGAAGGCATTAGCCATATCGGGGGTCATGGAATAGGGAATTCGCGACCTGAAGCTTTCTTTCAATTCAGATCTAGGGATCTGCTTTCAATTTACATCACTGTCATTGAAGCCTGCATTTGCAGATGCTACACCACGCATAGGGAGGTAGTGGTGTCCCTTGAAGATAATTTATTCTTGCGGACGTTCTCCCAAGAGGCCACTCCGCACGAAATTCGACATTCATGAGCAAAAGGCTTCCACGAACGACGTGGTCGCTTACGGAAGCTTCGTGTGAGCACTCCGTGTACACTTCGAAGCAAGGCCAGAAGGCTTCAGAATCGAGTACCAAAGTAGCAGAATGTGCACGGTTTAGGGTTCAGGGTTTGTATATTCGTTCCTTATTATGGTTTGGGAAGTATCTCCTATAACGCTACCTAGGACCGTTTGGGTCCCGGTTCATTCACAGCCCAATGTTCCATACCGCAGAGGCCGCAGTCTGTTCCACATGCTCCAAGCGCCTCAGCCTCTCCGCAATGCCCTGGCAGGTGCGGAGAACTTTGGCACTGGATCTCTGTAGGACCTTAGTTCCAGATCCTATCAACCCAAAACCCTAACCTTAAACCTAAACCCTAAACCCTAAACCCTAAACCCTAAACCCTAAACCCTAAACCCTAAACCCTAAACCACAACCTAGACAGGATTGCCTGGCCTCTGCATGGCACCTTCTTTGGCTAGCCAGCTCTATGCCCAAAGGGTCCAAAGTACCTATCTAGTAGAATGTAGGGTTTCTATATCAGGAATTACGATTATGATTTGGGAAGTACCCTAAACCCTAAACCCTAAACCCTAAACCCTAAACCCTAAACCATAACAATACCTAGGACCCTTTGGGATGGTTAGGATCCTGAGAACTACCCATAGGCCCCATAGTGGTTCCTTTGGGGGATTACCTTATAGGATTCTAAATATGAACCCCAAAAAGGAACTACTTCAGGGCCTATGGGTACAGTCAGGGCGCAAGCAACCAAAACTGATGAGAGGGTTTGGGGTTTAGGAATAAGGGCCAGGCAAAAAGTCTATGTAGTTAATTGCCACTAAGACCCTGAATTCTACATACTTAACCCAAAGGTCGGTTGAATCCCAAGTTTGTCATATTCAATCCATGGGAGCTTCAGAAAATAAGGCGACCCCCCCAACTGTCAATTACGCAGCCTAAAATTCCCAGCTTAAGTGCAACTTATACCAACCGCAGCATGTACAACAAAAGCAACAGAAGTAAAACTTGACAAGTTTGAAAACTGAGAAGCCATGATGTCCAAAGCGCGGGCTGAGCCTCTGACGTTCATCACTCCGCTGCAGAACTCCTGTGCATATGCGTATTTCTCTAAATTCGGGTCCCTTTTCTTATAAGTATTTGTTTTGTAAGATTGGGGACCTAAACAGAGACCCCACTAGAGCGCTATAACCATGTGGAGTAGAGATGTCGCTGTTGTTCGCTGCAGGCTCTGTCTGTAGGCTTCCGGGCTTAGGGTTTAGGGTGTAGGCTTCCTGGTTTGGGATTCACGGGTCGAGGGCTTCGTAGGGCTTAGAGCTCAGGGCTAAGTTAAACGAGCAGGGAACGGCTAATGTAGCAGCCTGAACAATTAGAATAGGGTTTGGGGGCTCCTTATTACAATTCTGGTATAATATACCCCAAACCCTATCCTAATTATTGAATATTAATTTTCGAGGATAATGATGACAAGCCACCCTAAAGGGTCCAAAGGTGATGCTCAATGCTGATCTTGCCTTGATAGCCTATAGCCAACATTAATTAGTCCCAACTGTATCTGAACTGAAGACAATATGCCGCCGAAAAGCCTCCACCGTAATTTTGCCGTCGCCATCATCCAAAATGTCAAACAGATTCCGCACATCGTGTACATGTATATCCAAGAGGGCCATGTACCGCTTTATAATCGGGTGATCCAGATGCTCGATGAACTCTTGGTAAGAAACGGAACCACTATCATCTCCGTCCATGGTGTGGAAGACGTCTTTCAGCTTGCTCTGATACATTTGCGACGTCCTCTTGCTTTCGTCAATCTGCAATTCTGCATCATTGGCTGCGTTGGCAAGTGTCTCCTTCAAAAATATGGCTGTTACAATCCTTAGATCTCTTGCGCAGTCCTGGAGGCAATAAGTCCTCAACCACTAATTACGCAATAAGACTATATCATAAGCCCTTGGCGTTCAAGTCAGCTCCCGAAAGTTTACTCGTGGATGGTCAAGGAACCGGAGCAGTGCGAAGACGACAAGCGTAACGTAGCTCCTCAGCTTTCGCAATCGATGCGAGCATTCACATTCTGGCTTTGCCGGTTTGGGGATGTGTAAAATAGGGCTTGCTTTTGCGAGCTGTATAATATAATATAGGGGCCTTCATAGTTAAAATAGGATTGTGGGGTATGTTGTAGTATATCTATATATATATATATACACATATATATATATATATTAAGGAACCCCCCCAAAACAAAAATACTATATTCACAAGGACTTTTCGGTCCATGACTGCAGCTTCACTCGTCATTCAATCGGATCCAGGTGAGTGATCTTGGCAAAAGCAGCATACAACGCCCTCAGGCTAGAAAAGGGCTGGTCTAATTACACCTACCAGCTGTACTACCAACCCTATATTCTAAATATCCTGAACCTCCTAAACCCTAAACCCTAAACCCTAAACCCTAAACCCTAAACCCCACACCCCTAACCCTAAACATGAAACCGTTCCAGTTCCGCTCAAGCTCAAGAGGAGAAGCGAATACCATGGGTTCACGAAGTCTACCAAAGGACGAAAGCGCGACGGCCATCCTCCACTATACGTGACCTGCGGAGCGGCCACGCCGTTGAACTTCAGGCTGAAGTTTTTAGGGTTTAGGGTTTAGGGTGACCTGCGGAGCGGGTGGAAAGTCAAGGGGCAGCAATATAGGCTTTATGGGCAGAATATAGGAGCCTTAAGAATTTGAACAGGGTTTGGCTCCTTATACTATAATTCAAATAAGGAACACCCAAAATGATAGAGGTAATTGCTTAGGCCCTTATATTCGGAGAGTTTAAGGATTCAGGCTGTGCAAGCTACAACTCTTTAATCCTAGCATACTGACCTGCAGCCCTAAACCCTAAACCTTAAATCCCAACACCCTAGACCCTAAATGCCTAAGCCTCACACCATCAAGAAAGCCCGGCCCAAGAAACCCAACTGCACAGGGGCCTCGAACATGGTAAACAGTGCCTTCAGGAAGCTTCCATAGAAACCTGCACTCTTGCTGTTTGGGGAATGGGAGCGTGCAGGGTTTAGGGATTAAGGTTTAGGGTTTGGCGAATATAGGGGCTTACAGGGTTTAGGGTTTAGGGTTTATACGAGTAGTGTTTGGGGTTTGAGGTTTTAGAAACTTAGGTGCGAACATTGTGTTACCACAGCTTCAGGGCTTGCAGAGCTTGGCAGGTTTTTGGGCTTCAGGCTAAGGGTTGAGGAACGCTGATTTGAGTTAGGGTTTAGGGTTTAGGGTTTAGGGTTTAGGGTTTAGGGTTTAGGGTTTAGGGTTTAGATTCAAGGACAGCATAAGGGAAACACATACCGTTCAATCGATGGTCTCATTCTGGCACCTGAAGCTCAGCTTATACCTATAAATAAGACCCCCCCCCCCCATGTACCCATCCCCAAAATCCTTAAAGGCAAGGAAACAAGTTTCTTAACCCTGAACCCTAAACCTTAAACCCTAAACCCACAATAACCAAGAGTCTGTTGATCAGCTTCCGGGTATCCAGATCTTGCCCCTCGTCCAGGACGAAATCCTCGAAAGCTGGGCTTTGGGCTTCGGGTTTAGGGTTGAGGGTTCAGGACTTAGGGTTCAGGGGTTGACGGTTTAGGGCTTAGGAGGGTTCAAGGTTTAGGGTGTAGGGTGTGGAGCTAGGGATTTATTTATATACATACATACATATATATATATATATGTATATAGGGGCCTTCGGCCTGATCTTGGATTCTAGGTTTAGGGTTTGGGATTCGTGCTTTTGTCGGTGACCCGGCTTGCTTCATGTTGGAGCTTAACTCCGAAGCAGGCTATCCAAGAATACCCCACACAACTCACGTGGATGTAGGCTACACTTACAGGGCCTTTGGGGGTGAATGCCTGGCATTGTTACATTGCATGTTCGTTTCTCCCCAACTACTTGTGCTCATGATCCTTGGGCTGTCTATGGATTTACGTGCATGATGACTGCGATTGAAAGCTTGTTTGCTGATGTGATAACTGGCAATGTTAATCTGCATGCTTGGTGCAGCTGCAAGTCCTAGCCAACAGCTTAAAAAGCTAAAACCCCATGTTACCAGCCGTCTCAAACGCTTTGAACTCACTACAAAACATAAACACGTGTACTACCGAACGAAACCTATCAGACCTGTGAGACTGGGCAAAGCCCCAACAGCATCCTACGAGCACCCGAAGAAAACCTTAACCCTCATCACCCGCATCGTGCTGAGCGTTCCTTTGGGAACACCCTACACGCTAAACCCTCAACTCTAAATCCTGAACCCTGAGACTGTAATCAGCTCAGTGCATTTACTGGGGTCTTAGAGTGTAGAATGGGGCTTCTAGGATCTATAGGGGCTTCATAGGTCTTGCGAGGTCGTAAGAGAGTCGTATGGGGAGGGGCCTTGCCAGTTAGACGATGGCTTCATAGGAAGTGAATGTTTCTGTTGAGCTTCTGCTAGGAATGTTATTCAAACCGGAGCCTTCTGAATAAATATTAACAGGGCGTGGGATCGGCTTAACTATAATCAAGGACTTCAAGCGAATATTCCTGTCCGAAAACCTCAAATTGCTGAGCCCTACCCTGTGGCTTCTGCTACCTCCTAAACAAAAACCCACAAGGCTATGGAGCCGTAGAGGCCTGAAGCCCTAAACCCCATAAGCCTGAAATCAAGCATGCATATGCATGCATGGCGCGCAAAAAACTTCGAACCCTGAACCCTCAACCCCAAATTCCATAGCCCTGAACACAAAACCAAAAACCCTACACCCTAAACCCGAACCCCAAAAACCCTAAACCCCAAACCCTAAACCTTAAACCCTAAACCCTAAACCTTAAACCCTAAACCCTAAACCTTAAACCCTAAACCCGAACCCCACAAACCCTAAACCCTAAACCCTAAACCCATTAAGGCCCTGCTCTTCACTGCAAGTCGCCTGGAGAGCCTGGGAGATCATCAAGGCAAAGCCCACCTGTTCCCAAACGGTTCTATGCCTGCCCCCTGACTGTACCCATAGGCCCTAAAGTAGTTCCTTTTTGGGGTTCATATTTCGAGTCCTATAAGGTAATCCCAGAAAGGAACTACTACTGTTGATGGACAAAATTCTGCATGACCCAAATATAGTATAATACCATAAATCCCATAGGTTAGGTATATCAGGTCATGCAGGATTTTGTCCATCAGCCGTATGCCTACCATGAGTTCCTTTAAGAGTTTAGGGCTTTAGGATTCCTTTTAAGTTTTAAGTGTTCCTACGCACCTATAAACTGGAATGTAGGGTGTAGAGTTTCGGGCTTTAGGATTCTTTTTAAGTGTTCCTAAGTACCTATGCAGTAGAGTGTGGGGTGTCTAGGTTAGAAAGATAACTTCACCCTAAACCCTAAACCCTAAACCCTAAACCCTAAACCCTAAACCCTAAACCCTATTCTGATTCAGGGAAGTATCCCCCGTAACAGTACCTAGGGCCCTTTGGGTTTGCGTTTCTCTCAAAGTCGGTCCTACATGGGGTTTAGGGTTTAGGGTTTAGGATTTAGGGTTCATGGGGCTAGGGGTTT